ATATATATATATATATATATATATATATATATATATATATATATAAGATAAAGGACGAATTTTCCAAAAAATCCCTTATATTAACTCATATTAAAAATAAAAAATAAAAAACTCTATCCTCTTATAAAAAGTAATTTAAAAGTTAAAAACAATTTTATTAAACATAACCTAAAACAATATAATAATAATAATATTTATATATTTAAAATAATATTAAAATTCTAATATTTTTAAATATTTAAAAATCTTCAAAATAAATTTGAAATGTTTAGATGACCATCAATTTTTACTTTTAGCTTTTTAAATAGTTTTTTTACTGATTTTAGTCCTTAAAAGGTTAAATTTATATAATTTAATGATTCATATAGGTAAATATATATATATATATATATATATATCTTAAAGAATTGTTTTATGTACTTTTGTTATTTTATTAAGGACCTTTCTAGGAAATCGTCCCAAACTTCATGAAAGATCCATTAAATAGGATCTAAATAACTCGAATACAAAATATTAAGAGCTTCAGCAAAAACTGATCGATATCTCCTACTATAGTACTGTTCTAATGTCCTAAATCTAATGACAAAGTCCAAAGCCTCCTTGGCATCAAAGAATTTTCCCTCTTTCATCCCTTATAATATATGTCGAGTAAAAGACCCATCATTCTGTCTATAGCAGAACATCCAAATTGCTCCCCCGTCTACAGCTCTCAGAATGCCAATCACAATCATAACTTTAATCTAAATAAGAAAATCTTGATAGTGGTTACGAAAATGGGAGTTGTTCTGAAGATTTAGCAACAAGACACCTTAATTGACAAGCCAATCAATCTCCTTCTCACCAAGTATTAAAAAAAAAAAAAAAAAAAGCAAGTTAAGTACAACTGATTGTTTAAAAAACATCCATTGCAAAATAGCATTCAGAAAAGACATATTTTAAAGAGTCATTATGGAGGTGACAAACTGGACAAAGAATAATAGGTTGAGCATGATTAAACTTAGCAAACCAATCAGGTGGGAAGCCTTCTCCATATCAATTTTCAAAGAAATATTTTAAATTTAGGGGTATTTAACTTCCACACTGCCTTCCAACCCGTCCAAGATTCCTCCTTAGAAAAGTTTTATCTACTAATCATGTTATAGGCATTCTTAGAACTGGCCAGGGGAAGGTTCCAAATCTATTTATCCTCATTGGGCTCCAGAGAAAGGTGTGGATTCTAAAATCTAGCTCACTAATTCAGGGTGAAAAAGTATATTAATGACATGTACGTTCCAATGTTGATCCCCAATTAAATCAGCCTCAATGTCAAAATTCCTAATTTCAGTCATGTTAATGTATGTAGGCCAAGTAAGAAGTTAGTATATTGTCAATCCAGAGTTCTTTCCAAATAATAGTATATCTATGATTTCCAAATGTTAGCAGATCTATCATAGATCTAACTTAGTGATTTGATTTGATTATGTGAGTCCAAGTTGATCTTTACACCAAGATTGAACCAACCTATACCCATAAGGTATTCTCTTGATTCACAAGAGAAATAGTTCTTTTGACATTAGGTGTTACTGAGCCTTGCACAGTCCCAAAGGTGACCGAGCAAGGCTGTTGATCCACCTCGATCGGGTCCCAACGATAGGGCCAAGCGACCCAAGAAGAAACACAAGACCCTCGCATAAAGGGTCCTACACTCCAAAAAGGCGAATATGTTTGAAGATTCTGTTTGGGATCGGACTACTCTCCTATGGCACCCATAGGTGACTGAGGTCCTATATTTAAGAGTTCAGCTCGAGGGCCGGGAGGCTCCCCAATAGCGCCCACATGTGGTCGGGGAGGCTATGATCGATGAGAGACTTGTGCAGAGGGAAATCCTTGTCATTCATGGCATTACAAATGGGTGATCTTTCCGATGCCCCTCAAAACTTCATTAAAGCCCCATTATGAGGGCCTCAAGTGTGTGTAGAAGGTATAGGGCAAGGGTATGGCTACGAAACAATATTGTCGTAGATCGCTATACCCGAGGATGGCGAAGCAGATCTACTGCTCTCCCTCAAAAGTCTAGATTAACACATTCTTTAGTAATGAAGTGGTGGTGAGTCATCTCATGCCGATCTCCTTTAACTTTCCCCTGATGCTAACTCGTTCTTAGTTTTTAGCATCATCACTATGTGATGGCTTTCATCAACCGAGTCTGAGATGTTGGTGCTATAATTAACCAACCGTCTTTAATGATTGATGACCTCTAGGCTGAGGTTAAGAATTTGAAGAAGGGATTGACCCATGTTGCTGCCACTAAGGTGGAGGCTCTGGTGACAGAGTTGGCAGGTTAGTTGGAAGATGTAGAATGACACCTAGCTAGCTTCGCTAAGCAGTTGAAGGAAGTCCGGGGGAACAACCGGATGATGGAGGATGAGATGTTGTGAATTACTTGGGAGCTAGACTTGATGAAGACAAAGGCCCGGGAAGTAAAGGAGGCACTAGACACAGTGAAGATGGAGGCCCAATCGGCAAAGGAGGCGCTAGACGCAACGAAGGTGGAGGCTCAAGAATACATCCATAAAAGTAAGGAATTTGTGACCAAAGGTGGCATCCACCGGTTAACTGATTCGAGAGAGAGAATAGGTATCCTTTGGATAGGCTTTGTTGAGATCAATATGTTAGGATCAAGGGCGGCACTAAGAGGGGGGGTGAATTAGTGCAGTGAAAAACTTTCACTATTTCAAGAAACTTATTTCGATTAAAACTGATTCTGATGAAAATGGTTTCGATTCAATCTGTTTCGGAAAGAATTTAAACTTGAAAGCTTTCGTGAAAGTGCAAGAGAAGACTAAGGTGATTTGCAGTAATGTAAATTACACAAATGAAAAGTGTCAATTTCATAAAGTCTTCATACGATTAAAGCCGATCTCGAAAGGTGTTTACTTGAAAGTATATGTAAACATAGTTAAAGCACAGTAAAGAGGAGAGGTAGTTTGCTATAAAAGAAAGTTGCTCAAAGTAAATATAAACCGAGTTTTAGAGTGGTTCAATCAATGTGACCTACATTCACTTTCGAATTCCTCCTTCGATGAGGTCACCGATGTCCACTAAAGGCCTTCCTTCAATAGGTGAAGACCGAACACCTCTTTACAGCACTTTCTCCTTTTCCCGGGTTTAGAAGATGAACCCTTACATGTCTCACTCATCTTTCTTGGATAGTTACAAGGCTAAGAGATGAAGGAGAAGAACTCTAATTTTTACAACACTTTAAGACTCAAGAATTCAAGATTAAGCCAATAGGTTTTGTGCCCTTTCATGCACAAAAGGGTGGGATTTTTATAGGCCCCAATGGTTTCAAAAATGGAGCCAAAAAGTGTCTAATCCCAGATTTTCGGGGTCCTGGCGGTACCACTGTCATTACTAGGCGGTACTACCACCTGACACCTAACACTGGGCGGTACTACCGCTCAGTCTGGGTGGTACCACCGCCTGACAGAGCTCGGAGACCGAGCTCTAGTGGTACCACCGCCAGACAAGGGCGATACCACCACTGGCAGCAATAATTACTGGTAGTGCCACCGCCTGACAGAGGCGGTACCACCACCAAGAATTTCTAGGAGATTGAGTCTCCCAAGCGGTGCCACCTCATGCCGAGAATTCAGAGTCATGATTGGGCCTTGAATCCGGCCCAAACCAGCACAACTTAGGGCTAGTTGGCCCCAAATTAAGTTAGTGGGATTACCTCACAATCCTAAGTTAATTTATGCTCTAACTACAATAATTAAGAC